GACAGCAGCCAGCGCAGCAGCAGCTAAGCACGAGTAGTAGCCAGTAGTAGTAGTAGCAGCAGCAGCGAGCACCAGCTAGCAGCAGGAGCCAGCAGCCAGGTTAGCGAGTAGCAGCAGCAGCAGTAGCCTAGTAGTAGTAGTCGTGTGTAGCAGCAGCAGTAGCCAATGAGCAGCAGATGCAGCAGCAGCAGCACAGCAGCCAGCAGCTATAGTAGTTAGTAGTAGCAGCAGCGCAGCCAGCAGTAGTAGTAAGCAGCAGCATCAGCGAGCAGCCAGCGAGCAGCAGTAGCAGCCAGCTAGCAGTTAGCAAGCAGCCAGCAGCCAGCAGCTAGTAGTCAGCTATTAGTAAATGTAACAGAGCAGTTGCAGAAACTGGCGAGCAGTGAGCCATGTTTGCCCGGTGATATACACTAACAGAGAATTATCAAAGGTCACAACAAGGTCACGAGATGTCGCTCCCTAGAACGGCTTAGTCTCTAGGTCACTTAGTATGTCTGAATGCGGGATGCAATCGGCAATGGCAATTAAGGGCGGCACTTTGTTTGGCATTGCTATTTTAATCAGAGTAGAACGAGCGCGAGCAGTCAAGGACGCGTGACCAGAAGAGAGAGAAAGACAGATCGATAAATAAAATGAGTGAGAAGTAGAGAGGATAGCAGCGAGGCGCGAGCGAAGCAGAAGAGAGAGAGAGGGAGGAGCACGGAGACGAGAGAGGAGAGGTGAGAAGAGAAGAGACGACGAGAGAAAGGATGAGAGAGACAGAGACGGAAAGAGAGATGAGAGAAGGAGAGAACGAGATGGACGAGAGAGAGAGAGAGAGAGAGGAGAGAGAGAGAGACGGAGAGAGAGAGAAAGAGAGAGAGATGTTCCTCTGGGGTACTTCGAGCAGAGAGAGAGAGAAGAGAAGGAGAGGACGACCGAGAGAGAGAGAGAGACGAGCAGATGAATGTGATGGGCGAGGGGGTCAGAGAGAGAGAGCGAGACTGTTGTGTGGTGTGTATGTGTGTGTGTGCCTGTGTTCTCTGTGCGCTCTCTGTTGCTGCTGCTACTGCTACGACTGCATCTTTTTACTGCAACAAATACTGCTACTGCTAGTGTCACTGCCATTACGACCACTGCCACTGTGTTACTAACTTTACTTTGGTGTCTCTCTCTTTCTCCGATAGACGAACATTCCAGAGTGTGTCTTCCAGAGGTGAACGGAGACATGCTCTCTACCTATATCAATGCCAACTATATAACGGTAAGTCCTCGTTGCCTCTCCACCAGGTTGCGCTACCCTCCAGTTCTCGCATGCTCATGCCCTACGAAGTTTCGACGAAAAAGTTCGCGGAAAAAAAATTGTGAAAAAATTGTGCATCGTGCCGTGGCGCCAGCTTGCGGCGAGCATGCACACTCGTTGCATTGTTCATTCGTTCTTTGTTCGTTCTTCATGCTGTTTGGCAGTGTTGCTCATGCGTTGTTTGTTTGTTCTTCGTGGGAGCTAATCGGCGGTGTCACTCGTGTGTCACACATTGTTCATTCGTTGTTCGTTCGTTCGTTCACACTGATCGGCGGTGTCACTCGTTTGTCACACATTGTTCATTCGTTCGTTCACACTGATCGGCGGTGTCACTCGTGTGTTGTGCATTGTTTGTTCATTGTTTGTTCATTGTTTGTTCGTTCGTTCACACTGATAGGTGGTGTCACTTGTGTGTCGTGCATTGTTTGTTCGTTGTTCGTTCGTTCGTTCACACTGATCGACGGTTTCCCTCGTGTGTTTGCGTGCAGGGCTACGAGAGGGAGCCACGTGCTTACGTCGCGACGCAGGGGCCCATGTCGCACACGGTGGGAGACTTCTGGAGCATGGTGTGGCACGAGAACATGCCGATCATCGTCATGATCACCAAGCTCAAGGAGCAGAACAAGGTGAGAGCAGCGGCACTTGCTGCGAGTGAGTTATTATCCTGATGCTGATGCTGCTGCTGCTGCTGCTGCTACTGCTGCTGCTGCTGCTGCTGCTGCTGCTTAGCTACTACTGCTGCTGCTGCTGCTGCTGCTGCTACTGCTGCTGATGCTGCTGCTGCTGCTGCTGCGAGGTCTCGATCATCCCAGCCACTCCTGCCAGCCGTCTGTTTATCTGCTTCCCGCGATAATGTTCTCAGAGCTTTGAAGCTGTGCGATTATCCCATCCACTCCTGCCAGCATTCTAAAAGCAGTCTGTTTATCCGCTTCCCACGATAACATTCTCAGAGCCTTAAAGACTCCTCCATTTATAATTTGCTTTCTATGATAGCATTCTCAGAGCTTTGAAGCTGTGCTTTTATCTGCATCCCACGTCAGCTTATCTCAGCTTCCCATATGAGCGATCCCATCAGAGGCTTTCCACGAAGCATCCTCCAAAGCCACGCTCTCCCTCCCATCCTCGCGTTTCAACAGTCCCCCCCCCCCCATCGACTTTCCCATCGTCGCGAAACGTGCGTCTGACGCCCGTGTGCTCTCTTGTTTTTTTCTCGCAGACGAAGTGCGAGTGTTATCTTCCGCTGCTGCATGGCAAGTACAACAGCACTGATGTTACGGTGGAGAGCACAGTACTGAAGGATGGATACACCGTACGCAAGCTCACTATACAGGTAGGGCAGGACGGAGGGGCAAGCGCGGACGATAGCATAGTGTCCTATATACACGGGTGGTTGTTCGTTAGAAGTGTCATCAGGGGTTAAAAATGACAAATTTGTTGACAGGTTTGTCATTATTAACTCCTGGTGTCATCAGCTAACAAGGGGTTGACCAACAAAGAATCTGCTTTCAGCACATACGTGCATGCATCCACTTGCTTGCCTGCTTTCAGCACATACGTGCATGCATCCACCTGCTTGCCTGCTTTCAGCACATACGTGCATGCATCCACCTGCTTGCCTGCTTTCAGCACATACGTGCATGCATCCACTTGCTTGCCTGCTTTCAGCCCAGAGTCTGTGATAACGTGCTTGCATTCAGCACACACTATCATAACGTGCTTGCCTGGAGTCAGCCCAGATTCTATAATAACCTGCTTGCTTTCAGTGCTGACATGCTGTGATAACGTGCTTGCTCGCTTTCAACCCGATCTCTATGATAACGTGCTTACTTACAGCACTGCCTCTATAATAACATGCCTGTTTTTCAGCACTGATACACTATAAAAACGTGCTTGCCTGCTTTCAGCCCGGACTCTATGATAACATGCTTGCATTCAGCACACACTAACATAACGTGCTTGCATTCAGCACACACTATCATAACGTGCTAGGATTCACCACACACTGTCATAACGTGCTTGTGTTCAGCGCAGACTTTATGGTAACGTGCTTCGTTGCTTGCGTTACAGCACGGGCTGGAGGCGCGTGAGGTGCTGCACTACTGGTACACGGCGTGGCCCGACCACAAGACCCCCGGCACGCCGCGCCAGCTGCTCGACATGGCGCGCTCGGTCGAGTGCAATCGCTACAGTGCAGACGGCAAGGTGAAGGGTCCCGTACTCG